AAAAAAAAAAAAAAAAAAAAAAAAAAAAAAAGACCTTCAACTCTAGAGAGCACACATGTCTTACTCAAATGTATCCCCGGCACCTAGAACCATGCCCAGCACCTAATACACACTCAAGAAATATTTGTAGAATGAATGAATGAATGTTGAATTGGTCTAGGAAGAAGATACTCTCCTAGTCAGCCTAATACTTCCAAACCCTGAAAAGGGAGACCTGGTCACTTGCCCAGGGCAGGTCCCACCCAGGGAGGACTGACGGCCCTGGAACCCTTTAGAAGGGCTGTTCCCCTCGAGGCAAGAGGACAGCCACCTGCTCCAGGCCCACATGGATGGCCTGGGGTTCAGGTCTCCTACCTGACCGACGTGGGGGAAGCTGCATTCCTGTTGGTGTAGTTGACTAAGGCATTGAAGGACTGGTTCACCCACTGCCAGAAGATCACTGCCGGTATCGTCCTACCAGGAGGGAGGCCCGGAGAGGCAGAGAGGAGGATGGAAAGAGGGTTTGGGGCACACCAGTCAAACCACATTACCCGCTGCTACCCAAGCTGTTCCCATGCTGTTTCATGCAGCTGGGCTTTTTATGCACAGGCTGTCCCTCTGACTGGAGTATCCACACCCCCTACCCTTTCCATACATGGCTGAATCCTGCTCTGTTGAGAGATCTCTTCTTCCTTGGAACCTTCCCAACCCTTCCCCTGCCCTTCCTGAGACACAGTTAGTCATTCTATGCTCTCTGGTCCCACCACCCCATATTCTACCCCTAACCTACCACTTGGCAAGCTGGATGGTAACTATTTACTTCTTGGTCTCAACAAAATTGGCCACCCCTTGAAGGGAGGGACTAAAGTCTTTATACTCCCCACACCTGGCCCAAGGCCTAGCTCACCAACTGGGTAACTGAATGCGTTGGGGAGAGAGGGGGGAGAGGGAAGAGAGAAAGGGGGAACAACAGAGAAAGTTTCTCTCCCCAGCTGGGCTGTCCCAATTTTTTTACTTGGATATTACATTATAAAAATACATTAAATTCATTGCTGAATAAGTACTTTTTAAAGAGGGAATTAGAATAGCTCATCCGTTGAGCACTCTTGAGAGGCCTGCCTCAGTTTATACAGCCAGGTACCATCATTTCCTGGCTGTGTGAACTTGGACAAGTCATATAACCTCTCCAGAACCTCAGTTCTTCATCTATAGAATGGAGATGAAAATAGTACCTCTCTGTAGGGTTGTTGAGATTAAATGAGGTGATAACATGCAAAGAATTTAACACAGTGCCTGGTAGCTGGTCAGGGATCCGTAAAGACGGCTATTACTATCATCCTACTATGGCTCCCTGCCTAACAGGTCCATGCGGCTGCACCTGGCGCTGCCTTGCTCCCGGGTCACACCTGTAGAACTGGAGCATGAAGCCCGTGATGATCATGCCCCCGGGGACCTGGAAGGACATCCGCCCAATGACGTTCATCTTGTCCCCGGTGTCAGGGTGGAAGGCCGAGTCGTACAGCTTCTTGGCATAGAGCAGCTGCTCCACTCGCGTGCCTGGGGGCACAGTCCCCATCCTGCCACCAAGGACCACAGGCGGTGTTACCTCCTGGCGCCTGGGCCCTCGCCTTCCGTTTCCACCTCGTCCCTAAGGCGCCCGCCGGCCTCGGCGCAGCGCCCCCAGCCGCTCCCCTAACCGCTCACCTGCTCTCCTCCACCAGCACCTTGGCCCAGTCCAGCTCCCGCTCCGGTACCAGGACGGTGCGGGGGTCCGTGACATTGAAGAAATGCTTCACCCGCCCCAGGAAAGTGCACTGGTCCCAGCGGGGGGCATCGATATTAAAGCCAGACAGGTCAGCCTCCATCCTGCTCACACATAAAACTGTGGACTTCAGGAACAGAGGAAAAATGAAGATTGCCCTCAAAGCCTGCCCTGGAGGCCCTTAGCACCTCCCGCTATGGTAGACTGACGGCTCTCCCCAGCCGCAAGCATCATCTGACTCAGCTCAGGAAGGCTCCAGTGAATGGTCACCAGTCTGAGCAACTGGGCACCAACATGTGTTTCCTGAGTGCCTGCTGGTGGCCAGCCTGGTGCTTGATGATGCTGTGGGCGAGGCTGGGAAAAGGGACAGTACAGTGCTTGTCCTTGGGGAGCTGAGTCTGACTGGGGAGCAAGAGCCCACCTGTGGAACAACAGATAATACATACAGCAACAATAAGCACGGGAGATGAGAGGAAGCTGAGGAGGGGGGACACAAAAATCAAGGGGGGCTTCCCAGAAGAGGTGGAATGTGAGTGAAGCCCCAGAAGGTAGGACAGATCTATCTGAAGGAGGAAGAGGCACGGGATCACACTGAAAGTAGAAACAATCACTGATAAAGATGGAGAGGACAATGGCATAATTTTAAGACCTTCTTAGGTGATATTCCTGGTCAGCCTATTAGAAGTTGTTTTTTTAATGAGGGAAGAGAAGATTCCTATACATACTTTGTTCCCTCCCGGGGGGGGGGGGGGTGCATGCCGGCCCTATTAGAGATCCCGGGCCATGGTTATCGCTCTCAAGGCGTTGCAGAACAGGAGAGAGACAAGTAAGTCAACAAGGACAGTAGTGTGACAATGCTGCTGATGGACACGGGGAGCAGCAGAAAGCCAGAGAAGAGGTACTAAAACTGAGGTGACTGCATCTCCTGGTTTGCCGGGGCTTGTTGTCCTGTGGTAATTATTAAAAGCACCCCCTCAACCTCAAAAGTGTCCCAGTTTGGATGATAAATTATAAGATCACCTTATCTAAAATGGATGAGGGATTCTGAACATACTTTGTGAGAACAAGAAATAAACAATGTTTTGAAGGATGCATAAAAGTCAGATGGATGGAGGAGAGATACCCCAGGCAAGAATAAGAGCCAGTGTTTAAAGCACACCGTGCACATGGGGACCTGATGATGATGGTGACAACACTAACACTTACTGAGCTCCTTACTTGATGCTACACACTCTGCTTGGTGCCTGACGTGCATTTTCTGAATTCATCTTCACCATAACCCTATAAGATAGAGATACTCTTATGTTTAATGCCATTTTATAGATGAGAAAACCAAGGCACAGGTAAGTAACTTTGCCAAGTCACACAAGCACTTGCCAATAACAGAGCCAGGATTTTAATTCAGCCTGACTAACTTCAGAACCCCTGCCTATAATTAGGTTCTGGAATCCATGACTTGAAAAACTAAGGCGGGTTTGACACGTGAGGAGCTTGGAAATGGTCACTCCTGTCCTCACAACAAAAAGAAGCTGAACAAACTGAAAATCCACAGCTCTTCTTAGAACCATCAGAGAATTGAGGTCACAGGGCAAACAGCTGCCCCCAAACTTGGAGAGACAGGCAGGTACAGAGAATCACAGCTTAGTGGGAACAGAAGCCCACCCCTTGGGGCAAGTACCATAGGAAACTTAAACTGTAATTGACAAATTGCTGGAAGTTCAGTGTGGACAAGCTTGAGAGTTAAAAATTCCAGGGGGATTCAATCTTTGGTGGCGGTGTGGGGAGACACACTTTTGTGAGTTTTACCTCCAGGAGCCCACCAGGTTCTCAGGCTGAAGATCAGAGAAAAATTCCTAGTGCTTCTGGCAGGGAGATGGGAAAAGTGGCCATTCTGAAGTAGACCCAGAGGCCTCTGCGATTTTTAACAAGACCTGCCCTCAAAGGAGCCTAGCCTGTTTCACCAGAGCCTAACTACCTTGGGTCTCACCAGAACCTAACTGACTTGGGGGAAGAGAAACACCCAACTCCACCCCTTCTAGCTTTCCTATCTCACCTAAAGGGAGTAAGGGGAACCTGAGAAGGACTTGTGAAGGTCCAGGGGCACCTAATCACAGGACTATAGAACACTCCCCCTCCCCTCACACTGTCGGTGGTATAGGGCTCCCGTATAATAACAGGGAGAACTGACTAACAACAGAAAGAACCACAAGTCTCAGACCTTATTTAAGAAGAGGTGTCTAGAAGCCCAAAGACAACAGGGGAGACAAAAACAAGGACACCAGAGGAAAGTTAAGTTTTGACCCCTACAGCTTTAACAAACAGTAATCACAACCTAACTCCTCGCCAGAAAAAAGTCAAACCTCACACACATCTGGCTTTCAACAAAAAAGGACAAGGCATCCTAAAAGGCAAAAAAACAAAACAAAACAAACAAACAAACAAAACCCCACCGTTTGAAGAAACAGAGCAAGCAAGCATCAGAAGCAGAGACTTTGGAATTATGAAACCAGGAATTTTAAATAACTATGATTAATATGCTAAGGACTCCAATGGGAAAGTGGGCAACATGAATGAACAGACAGATGATGGAAGCAGAGAGATGGACACTCTAAGAAAGAACCAAAAGGAAATGTTAGAAACTAAAAATACTGTAACAGAAATGAAAGTGCCTTTGATGGGCTCATCACTAGGCTTGACATGGCCAGGGAAAGAATCAGTGAGCCTGAATATGTGTCAACAGAAAATTCCCAAGACTTCCCTGGTGGCACAGTGGATAGAGCTCTGCGCTCCCAATGCAGGGGGCCCGGGTTCGATCCCTGGTCAGGGAACTAGATCCCACATGCATGCCACAACTAGGAAGCCCGTAAGCCGCAACTAAGGAGCCTATGAGCAGCAACTAAGACCTAGCGCAACCAAATAAATAAATAAATACATAAATATTTTTTAAAAAGAAAAGAAAAGAAAATTTCCAAACTGAAAAGTAAAGAGAAAAAAAGAATTTATAAAAAAACAGAATAGAATATCCAAGAACCTTGGGACAATTACATAAGTTGCAACATACATATAAGAGGAATACCAGAAGGAGAGGAGGAAAAGGAACAGAAGAAATATTTGAAGTGATAATGACTGAGAATTTTCCAAAATTAATGACAGAAACGAAACTAGAGACCCAGGAGGCTCAGAGAACATCAAGCAGGGCAACTATCAGAAAATCTGCACCCAGGCACATTATATTCAAACTGCAGAAAATCAGGAAAAATGCCAGGGCTTCCCTGGTGGTGCAGTGGTTGAGAGTCTGCCTGCTGATGCAGGGGACACGGGTTCGTGCCCCAGTCCGGGAAGAACCCACATGCCGCGGAGCGGCTGGTCCAATGAGCCATGGCTGCTGAGCCTGTGTGTCCGGAGCCTGTGCTCCACAACGGGAGAGGCCACAACAGTGAGAGGCCCGCGTACCGAAAAAAAAAAAAGAAAAAAAAAGCTATGGCTTTTGAACTTTTGCCTGAAAATTTCAGGAAGCCATTAAAAGATTTCAAGAAGAGTGACAAGGTGAGATGTGTAGTTTAGAAAGAACAATCTGGGGACTTCCCTGGTGGTGCAGTGGTTAAGAATCCACCTGCCAATGGCAGGGAACATGGGTTCAAGCCCTGGTCCGGGAAGAACCCACGTGCTGCGGAGCAGCTAAGCCCGTGCGCCACAACTACTGAGCCTGCACTCTAGAGCCCACAAGCCACAAGTGCTGAGCCTGTGTGCCACAACTACTGAAGCCCATGTGCCTAGAGCCTGTGCTCCTCAACAAGAGAAGCCACAGCAATGAGAAGCCCGCACACCACAGCAAAGAGTAGCCCCCATTCGCCACAACTAGAGAAAGTCCACACACGGCAACGAAGACCCAACGTAGCCAAAAATAAATAAATAAATTTACTGAAAAAAAAGAAAGAACAATCTGGGAAACCATATGAAAGTAAATAGGGTATGGCAGGACCTCACAGGATGCAGATACCAGCTGGAAGCGAACCCCCAACAATCCATGCAAGAAGTGGGGCTCAAATGAACCCACATGCACCAGAACTGGGAGGATGATCAAAAGAAGAGAAGCTTTTAAAGCAGCAGAATCTGAGGAGGATTTGCTAAGTGATAGGGTATAGGAGGAATATTCTATCAGTCAGGGCTCAACCACAGAAACAGAACCAATAGGAGATTTTCTACCTATCCATCTACGCATCAATCTATCTACCCACCTACCTCCCTCCTGGAATCTCTAACCTCAGGGTGGCGGGGGCCCAGCCCTTTTTTTTTTTTTTTTTTTTTTGGGGCACCCGGGCCTCTCACTGTTGCGGCCTCCCCCATTGCGGAGCACAGGCTCCAGGCACGCAGACTCAGTGGCCATGG